CCCCCTGATCACCCCCCTGACCACCCCAAGCCCTCCCTGCTGAGCCCAGCCCAGTTTCCATGGGTGCAAACCCAGCAGCAGGAAGTTGTGGCCACATCCAGCACCCTCAGAGCACCAGGAACCACAGGAATCTTTAATCCTCCAGGATTTGATCCAGGAGCAGGCACCAGGTTCCCATCAGGATTTGTGGATCAGCAGCTCGTGTCCCCTCAGGTGCTGCCACACCCCTGTCATTGTCTGGGAGGTCCCAAAAGTCCTGTTGTGGATAAACCCACTGCACACCTCACCCTCAGCCATGGAGCCACCTGGCTCTGTCCAGGAGAAATCAGGAAGCCAGGCAGGAACAGGTTTAGCATCAGGAAAAGTTGTTTTTTTTATTCCCAAAGAGTAGAAATAATTCCAGAAGGATCCACATCTGCAGTGTCCACACAGGGGTCAGGGAACCACAGCACCACGTGGAAAGTCCCTTTTTGAGGGACCTGGAACATCCCTGAGCTGAAGGAATTGACAAAGCACCAGGTCCTTTCCTGGCTCTGCCCCAGGAGAAAATTCCCAGAGCCAGAGGAAAGGCAGGAATGAGCCTCATCCCAAGGATCAGGGGGATGGGGCTCCCTCCCTACCCACACAGCACAGTCAGGGATCTCCTCCCCACTCAGCAGTTCAGTGTTCCCAAAACTCCACTACTTGGAGATCCTGGATATTGCAGAGCCATCCCAAACACAGATTCCCACATGGAATTCCACACAGTTTTGCGGGAAGAGCTCATTCCTGCAGGTCCCTGCTGCCTTCAGCCATTCCAGGTCCACAACAGCACCAAAATCACCTGCTGGAAGTGAAAATCCTCCATTTCCCACTTGGATCATCCAACTCAGCTAAGAAAAGCAAGGATCCCGTGGGATGGATCCCTCCAGGACACTCCACAACCCTTTGATGATGTTTAATCCTGCTTGGACCAAATATCCACAAAAAAGTTTTTCTTCCCACGTTTTTCCGGAATGAAAAACCTCCTGGAGCTCCCCCTGAGCTGTCACTGTCACATCAGGACTGGTGCTGCAGCTCCAGGGCTTCTCCAAACCAATCCAGGAACTCGGGAATGTTTCTGGAGTGGTCGGGAATTCCCAGCTTCCGTTTCAGCATCAGGAACTGCGAGCGAGAGAAAACCGAGCACCGGTGATGAAATCCCAGAGCAAAATCCCTGCCACATCCACCCAAATCCCTGGAAAACTGCATCCAGCCCATCCCAGAAGCATTTGGGAAGAGGCAGGAGCAGCCCCTCACATGTTTCCTGCTGGCAATGGCCTGTTGGATCCACAGCAGCTCCATCAGGAGATGGTTCCTGTGGGATTGCAGCTCCGAGCGCGGAAGGCCCTGCAGATCCGCTGGGATTTCTGCCACAAAAACCAGGAGAACCACAAAGATCTGGATGGTGGGAGCTGTTCCAGCTTTCCCAAGATATTCCCGAGGTTCTGTGTCCCCTACCTGGGCTGGCTCCGAGGTCACTGCTGTCCCATTCTGAGTCCACGCTGTCGTTGTCCCACTCCTGGCTCCCTGCCAGGGCTCTTCCCTCCTTTTCCAGGTTTTTAGCAGCACCAGACCCCAAATTTGGGGGTTTTGGGGTTGTGCCCCTGGGCAGAGGGGCTGAGGGGGGGATGTTCCCACAGCTCCCAGCCCGCTCTGCTCCAGGGGGATCCGGCTTCTCCGGGATTTTTTTGGGAATGGTTTCATTCTCTGCAGGCTCCCCTGGATCCAAGGGCTTCCCTGGGGAGGGCTGCCCAAAGGAAAACAGAAAATAAAAACAACAACACAGGGAGAGAAACAGAATGTGAGGAAAATATTAAAAAAACCAAGAAAGTCTGAAAGAAAATAGGAAAGAAATATGAAGAAAATACAAAGATGAATAGGAAGAAAATGTAGAGAAAATAGAAAGAAAACAGAAAGAAATATCGAAGAAAATATTCAAATACACAAAAGAAAATATATAAAAGAAAATAGAAAGGTCTGGAATGTTCCCGGGAATGTTCCCTGATCCCGATCCCTGGGAATGCTCCCCGGTCCTGATCCCCAGGAATGTTCCCTGGTCCCTGGCAATGTTCCCTGATCTCAAAACCCTGTGAATGTTCCCTGGTCCTGAAACCCCGGGAATGTTCCCCGGTCCCGATCCCCAGGAATGTTCCCTGGTCCCTGGCAATGTTCCCTGGTCCCGAAACCCCGGGAATGTTCCCTGGTCCTGAAACCCTATGAATGTTCCCTGGTCCCGATCTCTGGGAATGTTCCCTGGTCCCGATCCCCGGCAATGTCCCCCCGCTGCTCACGCACCTCGGGCCCGAAGTGCGGCCGCTGCAGAACGCGGCCGGTCCAGTGCAGCTGCCCCAGGTCCCCCTCGATCTCCAGCACCACGGCCTCGAACTCCTCCCGCAGGCTCCGGAGCCGCCTCCGCAGCAGGAACCCCCTGGCACAGGCCTGGCACGGCCCGGGGGCAGCGCTGGAGCCGGGCTGGG